TTTGGATTGAGCTAACATTTTTTAGATGAATATAATGAAATAATATCAATTTTCTGCAGTAAAAAAAAAATAAAAAAAAAACTTTTAAGTAATTATTTTTCTTGAAATTCAAAATATAACTCAACCCAATTTTTCTCAATATTATCAATATAATAAAATAATATCAATCAATCATTTTTAAATTCATTATCAATTCACTCACGAAATTTTAACTACGCATCACATTTAATCACCAATCTCCTACTTTTAACATCAATAAACTTTGAAAACATATTATTTTAAACATTATTTTAATAAAAACTCAAAATTTCACTCGAATCTAACCAATAATTTCTTTCAAAACTAACTCGGATCAACAAAAAAAAATTCCAATCAAAATCAAAATAACCCAAATCTAACTCATATCAAGCACTGTCTTAGTGAGCAGTTTCTGCCGCATTTATGCACTTTTAGAACATTCTGTTCAAATTTTTAATTATTACTTGACATTTTGGACAATCAAAGTTATTGGATATATTTTACAATTTTCTCAAATATCTGAGACTGAAAATTAAGAGATTGTTTAAATCAAAATATTCATGTGCTATAACTCATATTGAACAATATATATATATATATATATATATATATATTCTTTTGTTTCAACTAATTAATGGTTAGTTTTCATTATGACATATGAAAAAATATATATATATACAGAATCATATTATTTGCGAAACTAATACGTACAGAGTCCGCAGATTCTTCAACTGTTCGAGTTGGGGGACCAACGGCCCCGATAAGTTATAATTGGTGAGGATACTGACAAGAAAATTGGATACGATAACATATGATCATTAGATTAACAACTCATAATCCAATCTAATCAATATTAGAAATGAATGGCATATGAATCTATTTCATTTGAGATTCGTCAACAAAACGTACGCATACCATAGCAATTTAACACGAAAAAGGAGAAGATGAAAGGAATATTGATGGCTTGCTTACATCCCTATTACTATGTTGTTGTCTGAGTCGCAGGCGACACCGGACCATGAACAAGGGTTGACAGAGTTTGAGTCCCAATCTTGTAACATGTTAAGAGGATCAGTGAGTCCTAGCCTGAAGGCGTATAAGGCATCACCTAAA